AAAGGGGACAGCACAGGGGGGGTGCACAGAGACAAACAGCCCTGTTAGTGCTCGGGCTGTTCAAAAGTCAACTTCAAACATCCCTGATGGGAAAGGGGATGCTGTGTGAGACCCACCCAAATTTAATGCCACCCCACTTAAATTCAGTGCAGAGCTTTCACCTTCTGCAACTAGACATTGCTAGTTAAGGGATCTCTTTAACTAGTGGTTCAGAGGTAGTTAAGTGCATTAGCACACTGACATCTTCTGTGGACCATGAGCTGCAGGAGGTCCACCTTCTTTTCAGGAGCACATTAAGAGAGGAAGGCAGTTCTTTTGGTTTCTCTGCATCTGGACCTTTGGGGACCCTCAGCTGAGATTCCCAAGAGAGACCTGATTTAATCAACAAAAGACACCTCACATAGTCATTCTTTAGCCACCTCTGAGAACCTAGAACCTGATGGGACTTTTATAGTAATTTACTAAAAACAAACAATAAGTAAATACACCCCCAAGCCCCCCAAAAAATAATCGACAAACCCACTGCAGTACTCCCTCACATTCCTTGTCAATACAGTACAAGGAGATAAAAAAGTAAATAAGAGTCAAAAAAACCCACCTTTTGAGAAGCATTTTGTAAAACACAGGAGCAAAATGAACCATTTACAGCATTAAAATGGCAGAACACAATGCAGAGGAGAGCAAATGCAGAGCTAAAGAAGCCCACACAGGAACCTGAGGAGTCAGGAGTAGCTAATTTGCATCCTACCTGTACAAAAAACCTGGAAAAACCCCAAACTGATATCAGCCTTACCAGTTCCAGTCACCCCTCTCATCCTACCTTAAAAGCACTGACACAGCAGGTTCCTGGGCTGAGCTCTAGATCCTTCTAACACAGGTGCTGGCACTTGAGAGTAACTTCCCAGTATGTTTGAGGAGGTTTAACTCTTGCCAGCTGTTGTTGGGTTAGCAGCAGTTGTTTTGGTGACAATCAGCTCATCCAGCCTCTTTCACACACACACAACACTCTCTTGCCTGGGAAAAAAATCTATTGTTGGGGTGTTTTTTTTTCATAAGGCAGGTTTCTTATCAGCCTTGGCCATTCATAACAAACCCTTTTTCCTCTGCTCACTTTACAGCAGTTTTGATTTGCACCATTGCATGAGACCAAAAAAAAAACCCATGAGGCTCAGATCCAGGATTCTGCCACGCACCAAGAATAAATACAAAAGGGCTAAAGCTCGTTGCAAAAGAAAATGACACGCAGGAATGAGCACTGTTGTCTCTGAAGGAAGAATAACAACTCCTGACATACAAACATAAACGTTAGCTGATGACGGGAAACCTTGTCGCAAAAACCTGAGGACAATGATTGAAGGTAAAAGCCAAGGTTTGCTCACAAGATCCTTTGGAAAGCCCTCACCCTCAGCAACGGGGCAGAGTCTTCCTCCTAGAACAACACAGGTTTTGGGGGCTGTTTTGCTCTTTTCTTCCATCACATCACTGATGTTCTGGTGCTGAACCCACTTGCTTAAGGAACTCAACTTCCTAAATTTAGTGCATGGACACTTCAGGCTCTAGAAGACCCTGCTTTGGTGATTTCCACCATCTAATCCCAGAATCCCAGAATCCCAGAACTGCCTGAACTGGAAAAGCCCTTTAAGCTCATCAAGTCCAATCATGAACCCAGCACACTTGTGCTCCAGACCCTTCCCCAGCTCCGTTGCCCTTCTCTGGACACGCTCCAGCACCTCCATGTCCTTCTTGGACTCAGGGGCCCAACACTGAACCCAGCACTCCAGCTGCGGCCTCACCAGTGATTCCCAGTGCAGGGGGAAGAGAACTTCCCTGCTCCTACTGGCCACACTGGTGCTGATCCAGGCCAGGATGCCCTTGGCCTTCTTGGCCACCTGGGCACTCTGCTGGCTCATGTTCAACTGCTGTTGCCCAACACCCCAGGTCCCTCTGCCAAGCGCTGCCTGAATAATGACCTCTATGTTCTGATCCAGACTCGAGCTGTTTTAATTTCTTGTGCTTCCAGCTCGTGTATTGGAAGTGACAACGAGCAGATCTTCCCCCGCTCAGCTTTGAGCCTTTGTCACCTCTGTCATATCTCCCCTCCGCTGCCTCTTTCCAACTGAAGCCACGTTGTCTCACTCATTTCCCATGACAAGTGTTTTGCTCCCCGAGGCACCAGGACTGCAGCGTATTTCAGATGCACAGTGCTGTGTCCTGGCCTTGTTTTCTGCTCCTTGCTTAGGAATGTCTGATATCAACGTTGTTTTTGGAACTGCTGATCGCTGAACTGTGTTGTTGTAACACTATCACAACTGTGACAGCTTGTTCCTGAGAGATAATTGTTAGCCACCAGCCTGTCATTTTCTATCTAAAGTGTTCTGGTTTTTCCCCAAGTGCATCACTGTGTGTTCATCGCAACTGTTGGGATTTTTTTTCATCTGTTGTTTTATTGTTCAGTGACTCAGTCTTACCAGGGTCTTCTGCAGATTTTTGCAGCTGATCCTCCTGTAATTTAATATCATCAGAAACTCGGTTGCCTTGCTGTTCTTCCCTCCCTTTGCCAGAATCACAGGATGTGGTGAGCTGGGAGGGACCCACCAGGACGATGGAGTCCAACTCCTGTCCCTGCACAGGACAAGCCCAACATTCACACCATGTCCCTGAGGGCCTTGGCCAAATGCTGCTGGAATCTTGTCAGGCTTGGTGCCATCAGCACCTCCCTGGGGAGCCTGTTCCAGTGCTCCACCACCCTCTGGGTGCCTCAAGAACCTTTTCCTCATGGCCAACCTCACCCTCCCCTGACACATCTTCCTGCCATGTCCTCTGCTCCTGGCATTGGTTGGTGGCCAGAGAGAAGAGATCAGCGCCTGCCCCTCCTCTGCCCCTTGGGAGGAAGTTCTAGACCCCCAGGAGATCTCCTCTCAGTCTCCTCTTCTCCAGGCTGAACAAACTAAGTGCCTCCAGCTTCTCCTCACACCCTTCCCCTCTAAATCCTTCCCCAATGCTGTGTCCCTCCTCTGGACACTCTCCAGCAGCTTTAGATCATTTTTATACTTTATTTAATGATTAAATTATTCACTGATGTGTGGGACTTTACTCTCATTTAATGGCTGTTTATTTGATGACCTTCAGTGGGGACCTTGCTCAGAGGCATTGGGAATCCAGGTAGACTCTACCATCACCTGGACCTGCCCTAACCAGAATCCTTTCCAGTCCTTGGAGGACTTGCAGTATGTTAGGGAGCCTTGTCTGTGTGTTGGAGGAACCATACTGACACTTTCCCCACTTTCCCCATATGATGTACTTATCCACGTGCCTGTGGATTCAATTCTTTATTAAATTTCCTGCAACCTTTTCCCACACAGACCCCATGTTCATGGCTGTGCAGATCCCCCCATCTCTCCAGAGAGCCTTTTAGTGTGTCCCATGGGAACATGTAGACCTTGTCCTTGCAGGAGATACTTGTACATGTAACAGTGCAGAAAATGGGAGAACTCTCTCCTCTCACTCTAGTCCTGCCCCTACCCTCGTACTTCATGGGATGGGTGGGTGGCTGGGTGCATCCACGTTTGCTCCATCCAGCTGATTTGCCTTGTTCAACCCTTCTCCAGGCTCTGGGGTGGAGTTGCTGTGGATGCTTCTTCCCTGGGGTCAGATTTGGGTGAGCAGCTGCTGGGTAAGTGCTTTAGGGAGTGCTGAGTGCCACTGAGCACCCCGGGGTCTGCGTTAGCCAGGAGCTCAGTGCACTTGCCTACACATTGTTGCTTAGTGCCACTGGAGATCACAGATCTCATCAGGGACACCTGATGGTGTCCCACATGGCTTCCCACTGCCACAAAGGGCCACGTGTGTTGTTATGATCAGAATCTCATTTACAGGCAAAAAACAAACCCATTTTATGTACAAAGCCAACAATTAATTGTTAGTGTAATTTAAAAGTCTAATACAAGAATCGTTACTAGTCCAGATCTAGTTATTACAGAGAAAAAAGAAAGAAAAAAGAAAGAAAGAATTATTTATTTGCAGAAAAAGAAGGAAGAAGAAGAAGAAGAAGAAGAAGAAGAAGAAGAAGAAGAAGAAGAAGAAGAATGCAATTCTGATTGTTATACACACACTTCCCAGTTTCTACCTCTTCCCCAGGGTCATGTTCACCTTTTCTTTGCTCCTCTGAGTCTTAAGTTTGGTGACTTCAGTTTGGTGGTGAATGTTACATCAAGTCATTAAAATCTGGAGTCTTTCACAGGGAGGAGTATGATGTTGATGGCTTGTTCTTCCTCACTCTGGAGTCCTCTTGGTGTCTTTTTTGTGTTTGATAAGATGCTTTTACACCTTGCTTTCTCTTTGTTGGCCTGCAAGTCCCTGTTACATGTGCATTTATTAAACACGGTGCATTTTATGCATGTTAGATACTTGTTCTTTGCTTTCTTTGTCACCTTCAAACCATTTCTGGCCAGGTCCAAGCTTACATTTCTTCATCTGACCATTCCTGAGTTGTTTATAGCCATGAGGTGCCCAGTGCCAGCCTGTGCCCTATCTCTTATCACCTCATGCCGGCACTCCTCTGTGCCGCATCCTCTGTCCCTACTTCTCAAGGCTCCTGCCATCTGCCAGACCCGTGTTTGTCAGCACTACACCATTATGTTGAAGTTATAAATATCTCACTCAGCACAGAACGGCTCCTTTTTACTACCACCTGCATAAAACTCAACCTCTGGTTGCACCATACGATGTTACCCATAAAAGCCATAGCCATAGTCAGAATAAAAATTGCCATTACTGCTAAACCTAGTGAAAACAAAACTCCACGTAGGTCAGAACAAGCTCAGGGGGAGCAAACCTGGCATGGCACAGTCCTGAGACCTTGCAAACTCATTAGAAAGCCTGTAACCAGCAGTGGCCATGTCACCACGCTGGGGTACGGGCTTGGTGTCCAGGACCAGCATCACAGCTGCCTGAGCAGGCAGATGCTGAGGACACCTCGAGTGGGACTCAGCACCAAGCGGGGGGCAACTGAGCTGAGCCCTGGGTTGCCACTGACTGCTGGGGGCTGGGACACCCCGTGCAGATGGGGACCCTTGCAGAGAGACACCCACCAGCAGCACGAGGAGATGCCTGCACAGGGGCACCCGTGTTTAACCATCTCATACTGGAGCTGCATCTCAGCCCTGGAGTCCTTCAGAAGTGAATTAATGTTTGGGTAAAAAAATCACAGAATCCCAGAGTGGTTTGGGTTGGAAGGGACCTTAAAGATCATCCAGTTCCAACCCCCCTGCCATGAGGAGGGAGAGTACACAACACAACTCTTGGATCATGGAATGGGAAGATTTCTGGGTCCCTGCACACCAGGCAGCTTGGGGAATGGTTCAGGTCAGTGGACATTGCTAGCATTGCTCATGGACAATAAGCAATAGAGTCAGTCCAGGGGGATAGCTCTGAGGAGAAAAGCAGGTCTCTCTGCTGCTCACAGGGATGCCACGGGGTGAGGAGGTGACAGGAGAAGATGGCAGGTACAGGTAGAGAGACTGCAAAAACTGATTTGTTCTGCTGCTGCTCTGCAACAAAAAAATCTGATTATTTTTTTTTCCCTTGGGTAACACACTCACAAGTTCTGCTTGCTGGAAGGTTAGGAGGGGAAACTGCCTCTTTTTGATAAAGTACTTTAATATCTCTGAATGGAAAGGTTATATATATAGAAGTAAGTCACGTGCACTAAGAAAGAGGAGAAAACTGGGAATAGAAAGCCAGGAAGAAATTTTAAAAAATGGCAAATTATAGTGAGATATGTGAATGAAGACAAAGCCAGAGAGTGATCTTCCTTAAAAATTGAAGTTCCCACTTGAGAAATAAATGTTTCAAAAGCCTCAGGGACTTCCCACGGAGGTTACAGACATGTGGCCTCAGATCTGTGCTGAGGGCAGGATCTCTTTGGACCCATGAAACAAGATTGAAATTGGCCTCTGAGCACACGGGCTGGGAAAATAAACCCACACGTGCACGGGGGTGCAGGGAAATTCAGGGGGGGGCAGCTCAGAGGAAACGCTGAAGAAAACTGCTAAGTTCATCTGACCACTAAATTCTGTGGTGTTGAGCAGGGAGGGTGTGTGACTCCGGCCAGTTCCTGCCACCCATCCCCACCTTCCATTATTATTTTGCTAGTGATAGTAGAGGTCACATCCCTGACTGCTAAATACATATTTATGGACCCATCACCCATTGATTTGTATAACTGCATTTTAAACTCCTCGCTGCTGTCCTCCTTCATAACTGATTGTGAAAACAGGTTCCAAAAACATCTCTGTAAAATAAGTATTTTTCTCTGTGTCAAACTATTTTCCTGTTAGTTTCAAGTAGTTTTAGTGCTGGTGAGTGACTGCTGTGCATTCCACTCAGTATTTCACAGTCTCACATGTTTTCTCCCAAGGCCAGACTGGCAGCAGCCTTCCACTGCCAGGTCTGCAGAAACAGTGACCTTTAGCCAGAAAAACTGCCAAGGTAACGTCAGAGCAAAGCTGCTTTGTGCACAGTTACACAATATTGCAGTTATGAGAATATGAGAGTGTGGAGAAACATGAAAACTTCTCAGACACTCTCCCACAGGAGCAGGGACATGTTTATCTCATCTTCACCAACATCAGAGCTGTCCTGAAGGGCAGCATCCAGGGTGAGAGGGACATTCTTCCTGCCATTGGTCCCTTGGGGCTTGGCTGATGTTGCCTTGAACAGCTAGTGAAAAAATGGGTGGTTTTGGTCAAGAAAGGGAAGCATGTGGTCAGAAAGAAGCTGGAGCTAGTGTCCAACCACAGGAGAAATACACCTACAGTTGGCCAAAGTATTTGAGGGGTTCTCCTGGTATCCACTGCACTCAGGTGCGATAGCTGCCATGCTGTTATGGTCTTGCTGTTATGGTGTTATGGTCTTGGATTATGGTTTTGCTTGGTCTGTTTCTATTTGGAAGTAAATAGTTGAGAAAATGGGACAGAAACCAACCAGCTGAAGTCAGAAGTGCCGGCCCCTGCCACGCCACGAGTCCAGGATCACCAGTAAGCCAGCCAGAGCAGGGGACATCCCAGTTATATGTGCCCATTTTGAGATGAAGGAACCATAAGTGCGTGAGCTCTGAGTGCAGGTCAGGTTTGTGCAGCAGAACAAGGCTGGCTGCCTGCTGCTGATTCCTGTCCTGACCACCATCAGTGACTCACTTTGGGTTTTTTCTTTTAAACCCTCCCGAGTGCTAACGGTGGAGCTGCCGAGAAGGGAGCAAAACAACAGGTTCAACCTGCAAACCCTCATCCTGCTTTGCTCTGCAGCACTTCACGGGCACGAAGAGCTCAGGTTTTATCTCGGGTAAGAGATCCAGGGCTGATGCCTCGTGTTGGGACATCAGTAACAGGCACCAGATAATGCAAAATCACGACTAAAAATGTGCTCAATTAAATGGTTTTAATTGAGCTACCAAACCTTTCTGCTCGCAGCAGCTAAAACTTCTCACCTCTCCCCTGCTACCTCAAAGCCTGGTGTTTTCAGACACCTTCTTCCCACCCACAATGGCAAATCCTCTGTTTCTTAAGCCAGTTCTACCTGCTCAGCATAAAATCAGAACTTGGTATCTCGTATGAATTATTCAGATTTATATTGCTCTGTCTCGTTGAAAGATGCATGCTTAAAAGATGCAGATTAGCAGTTTCGTGCACCTGCCAGGTAGGTGGGAAATTCTCCCTGGATAAAATGAACATGCAGAATTTCTGTGGTGTCTCAGTGAGGAGGCACTGGGCATTCACAAGAGGAATCCAGCTCTCCTGCCAGCCCTTTCTCCAAGAGTCTGCTGTACAGCATGGGCAACTGGTGTAAAGACCTGGGGGTATTCCCTGGCTGTGGTCAGGCAGGTGAGGGGTGTGTGATATAGTGTCACCTGGAGATGTGGTTCCTCAGCTGAGCTGGGATCCTTGAAACCAAGGCACAGGAGCATGTGTTGCATGGGAAGAGGGAGGAGAGCAGAGCCAGAGCTGAAGCCACATCTCCACCAGCAGTGGGACTGGAAGCAGCCAGGGCAGGGTCAAGACAACTCGGCTGCCCTGCCAGATTCATCACATGGAGAGAGGCTCCTGCCTGTTTCTGGAGGAAGAAAACGTATCAACGACACAAGGTCTCTCAACTCCAAGAAGCAGAAGCCCTGAAATGCCACGGGCACGTGTGAAATGGGCACAAATGTCTTGGTTTCACCCAGGACATTGGATTAGTCATCATTTATCTGGGGAGGAGCTGCAGGCTCTCCTCTCCTTTCCTTAGCTGAATGGTGTTTGTACCACCAGTGACATTACGTTCTGGTATTCATCACCGTAACAGGTAAGTGAAGAAGTCACCGGGCTCACAGGTACGCGGAATTTGTTCTCGCTGGAGCAAAGTGTGATGTTGATATCTTTCGGGGTATGTTTCTGCATCATCACGCTCTCATTTAAGTCAGAGTTTGTCCGGCAGCTCTGAGAGACCCAGAGTGTAAATCATCAACGTGTTTCCTTAGATTTGGCACTTTTATGACAGGGGATCATTTGTAGTTTGTGCTTTTTTCTCTGGTTCATTATCACAGGATCACCTTGCCTATTCGAGGTTTGGCTCATCATGGGTTACAGCAGAACCAATTCCTCTCACTCCTCTCATGCTCTTCACCCCAGCGGGTATCCTGGGGGTGGAGGTTCCCCACGTCTGGCTCTCGCGTGTGTTGCGTGGGAAGAGGGAGGAGAGCGGAGCCAGAGCTGAAGCCACGTCTCCACCAGCAGCGGGACTGGAAGCAGCCAGGGCACGGTCAAGACAA